CTTGCTAAGCTCCCTCCCAGCACGGGTTGGTTCACTCTCTTGTCAATACAAACACCCCTGAGCCCATTCCTGAAACCTCCGGTTGTCTGCTGCAGCCTCTTTAACTTGTATTCATTCTGTAACACATACACATAGAGAGAGCTGTATCGGTGTATTGATTGTGTGCTGTGTGCTATGAGAGTTAGTGAATAGGACTGGAATAAAAGAACTTGCATTCACCTCACTGGGGCTTCCAAGCTAGGAAGATTTTTTTGTGACAAATTGCCATTGAAACTGCTAAACCTTGTGAATTTATTCAATAAATTCTGACATTGTAGAATGTGGTACAAATGTGTTCCTCTACATTTCTGGTATACTGCAGTTGCACAGCAAGCTAGGGGATTTTCAAAAGCACCACAGGAGGGCCATCAAGATGACTCTGTGGGTGAAGGTGCTTGCTGCCAAACCTGGCCACCCAGAACTTACATGATAGGAGACAACTTTTACACGTTGTCCTCTTCCTCTGACCCTCTATATGCAAGATGTGGCGGGAGGACACACATACACTCAATGCAATTAAAGCACCACAAGGGATTAGAAGATAAGCCTGAGAACCACTGTGGCAGCAAAACCTCCAAAACATAAGAACAATGGCAAAAGCAGGCAGTGGTGGCTCACACCTGCAATTCCAGGACGAGAGAAGTTGAGGCAGGAGGACTGCTTTTAAGTCCCACATTAGCCAGGGCTACATAGCAAGATCCTGTCTCAAACAAACAATAAAAAGAGCCATGGCAAAACTGGCACTGGCACTTTGTAGCAACTTGAGTTGCTTAAAATAGACTGCTTCTATTACATTCGTGCATGGATTCAGGGGGGATGCATGTGGAACTCAAGACAATGCCTTGCTGGAGTCAGTTCTCTAATTCCACCATGCGGGTTCTGGGAATTGAAGTCATCGATTATCTGCCTTGGCAGCAAGTGCCTTTATCTGCAGAGCGATCTCGCCTGCCTTCAGCAACTTTAAAATGAGACTTCTCAGCAGCCAGTTCTGAAAGACTGGAAGCAGACTGAGGATAAATCCTTAAACAATTGTTTTACTTTAAGATTAAAGTGATCTCACATTCCCCCACGAGTGTATGAGAGTTAATTTTATGGCTCATTTAGAATCACTATCCACTAATGGTATGAAACACTATTTCTTCCAAATCTACAGTCTTTGTTTTTGACTGCTGTGGTAAAGGCCAGGACCAGAAGTAACTTGGGGAGGAAAGTTCACTTTAGCTTACAGAGGAAGCCAAGGCGGGACCTGAAACAGAGACCACAGAGGAGTGCTGCTCACTGGCTTGCTCCTGGGGCTTGTTAACTTTGCTTTATTATACATCCCAGGACCACCTGCAGGGATGGCACCACCCACAACAGGCTGAGCTGCCTCATCAATCCAAGAAAATGCCCCAGAGACATGCCCAGAGGTCAATTTGATGAATGCAATTCAATAGTGGTCCCTTCTTCCTATACTACTCTTATTTTGTGTCAAGATGGCAAAAAGAAAACAAACCAAAACCAAAACAAACCAACGAAAACTTTATCAGAATATCACCACAACAATTATAGCAGAGATGCAAAATTAAATCACAATTCACAGCTCTTGGATGGTTCTAGTGAAGAAGAGTATCTCCAACCTGATGTGCAGTTTTATTCATCACATCAACCCCTTCTTGGAGACAAAAACCAGAGACAAGGATTACTACCTCACCCCACTCCATCCAACAGCATACATGCACGTAAGAGTTGTCTGAGGAGTGTTAAAAATAATGGTGCTTACAATGAATGATACACATTCAGAAGTATCTGAAGATGTTATGCTTGAGAGTCTGTTTTAAGAGGTCTTTAGGGGCTAGCAAGATGGCTCAGAGGTTAAAGGTGCTTGCTACCAAGTCTGATAATCTGAATCCCATCCCTGGTACCTACATGCTGGGAGAAGAAAGTCAACTGCCAGGGATTGAGATTACAGGCATGAACCTCAAAACCCAGATCTCTTCTAATATTTTAAATAATTGTGTACTGTCCTGTATAGTGTGTACAGTGTGTTGTTTTGACATCTTGATAACCTTCTGGCTAAAGACTCTACACCCCCCCCCTCAGCTACCCAATCCCCCAGAGCTAGTCAATTCTCACAGACAGCAGGGGCTGACCTCCATATTCATGTACACATACATAAACAGGCAAGCAAGTAAACAAACCAATGTAATAAAGTCCTTAGGTGATTTGTATGTAACCAAGGCTGAGAATATTTTCACCAGAGTTAGTGGGTCTCTAACTTGAGTGTGCATTAGCATCAGCAGCAAGGGGTGGCAAAACATGGATCTCTGGATGCCAGCCTCAGTCCATCCGATTCAGCTGAATGATTCCTCAAATGCTGTGCTCCTAACTGGCTCAAGGGATGCCAGAGCTGCAGGTCCATAGAACACACTTGAAAAGTAAAATTCCACCTGTAAAGCACTGGTTCTCAACTTTGGCTGAACAGTAGAATCACAAGATGTATGGAGGGTACACGTTAAGAACACTAATACCTGATGTCTAAAACCAGAGACATTGATAAAAGGATATGTAGCTGAATGCTTTTAGCCCTAAAGAATAGTTTTATAATATCAAACAGATTAAGCCAGTCTCAGAAAGACAAATACCCAAGTTTTCTTTCATATATGACCTAAAATTAGAATCAAAAACTGTTTAGGTGATCAAAAGGAGATGAACATGAATGGGCCAAGGAGATTCTGCAGGGGGAAGAGATGGTCAACATATAAACATGTGTACGTGAATATAGATGCCCTATGTAACGGTATCATGTGTACTAAAAAAGACAATGAAACAGTTCTAAAAGAAAACTCCAAGAGATTAGCCAAAAGAGAAAAAAAAAGAACTAAAATATCCACATGAATGCATGCATGTAATTTATAACAAATATGTGCTATGAAAAACTAAAGGAAAAAATTCTGACCCCTTAGCCTTTCCCCATGACAATGAATCTGTATGTAGTCCAGACTGGCCTTGAACTCACAGCCAGTCTATTGTATCAGTCTTTCAAATATTGGGATTACAGGCATGAACCACAAAACCCAGCTCCCTTCTATTAAATAAGTATGTACTGTCCTGGGTAGTGTGTATATTTCTGTATACTGTGTTGTTTTGACATCTTGATAACCTTCTGACTAAAGACTTTGGCCACTCAATCCCCCAGAGCTAGTCAATTCTTAGAGACAGCAAGGGCTGAGCCCTAAGCTATCAATTAGTCAGCTTTCCATCACCAAAATAAGATGCCTACAATAAGCAACTTGAAGAAAGTTTGTTTTGGTTCACATTTCTGGTCCACAATATGTAGCCAATTGCTTTTGGGCTGACAGCTAGTCAGGTCATAAGGACAAGGGAGCACAAGGTGGAGAAAAAGCTTATGAAGAAAGACAGAGGAAAGGGTCAGATCCCAATATCCTCTTCAATTATCTAACTTCCTTCCACTAGACCCTACCACCTAAAAGTCCCATTACTTTCCAATGGTGCCACAGATGGAAAACAAGCTTCTGATATATGGGCCTTTAGGGAATCTTTCCAGATCTAAACAACAGCAATGTCTCTGAAGAATAAAACAATCACTATACATCATACTTCCTATAACTGCCCTGAATACCAGAAAGGCAATACTCCTCTACCTTTAGCATCCCAAGGCCAGGTAGCAGACAACTAGGGACCACTCCTATGGCTCAAAACCTGCAAAAACTGCCCCAACTAGTTAATCATAAGGTTTTGTTCCTTCCCTGCCTTTCCTGAGGAAAACACAATAAAGTACATTACCCAAGCCTTTACCTTTATCCTCCTCCTGCTTTCTGATCATTCTGGTGCCTTCCCTATGCAGACCTGTGGTGTACCTCCTGTTCTAGCATTGTGAATGTATAAAATGCTGTGTTCTTGAACCTTAGTGTCTCTCTAAAAACAATGTACAGCATTAGCTTGGAATAGTGGCACATATCCATGATAACCAGTATTTAAGGGGTAAAGACCACCAGCCTTAGCTACATAAGGAATTTGAGGCCAGCCTGGACTATGTGAGTTCTCGTCTCAAACCACCAACAAAAACTGTCTTGAAATATACCTCAATTGGTAGAGTGTTTGCTTAGTATGGGCAAAGTCCTAGATTCAATCCTCCACCAGTATGACACAAAAATTGAATATGGTTGCACACACCTGTAATTGAGGCTGAACTCAGGAGACAGATGCAGGATGATCAGAAAGAAGCTCAAGGCCATTCTTGGTCACATAATGTGTTCGAGGACAACCTGGAATACTAGACACCCTGTGATGGTTTGAATGAGAATGGACCACATTCTCAAATATCTTCATGCTTAGCCCCCAGTTGATGAGCTACTTGGGAGGATTAGAATGTATGGCCTTGTTGGAGAAGGTACGTCACTGAGAGTGGACTTTGAGGTTTCAAAAGCCCATACCAGAGCCAGGGTGTCTCTGCCTGCTGCCTGCTGATCAGATAGAAATCTCTCCGCTACTGCTCCAGTGCCATGCCTCCTTTGTGCCTCCACACTCCCCACCATGATGCTGGACTCACCCTCTGAAAACTGTAAGCGAGCCCAGAATTAAATAATAATTATAACAGTAGCCTTTGTCACGCACGGTGTCTCTTCACACTCTTCACAGCAATAAAACACTAAGACAGAAAAAACAACTTCAAATACATATATATATATATATGTGTGTGTGTGTGTGTGTGTGTGTGTGTGTATGATGACATTTGATATGAGCATTAACTACTTCGTTTGAAAAACAGTCGGCTTTAGGAGCATTTAGCACTGAGAAAAATTTAAACTTCCTGTTGACCTGATTATTATTTTGTAATTCTGGCAACACACATAAGTTCCATGTCTTCAGATCATTACAGTATTCAAAAGAAAAAGTTCGACAAGTACTCAAGGATAACTCCAGAATTGGAAAAAAAATAATGGACTAGAGACAGTGAATATAGTTAATTTCAACACCCACTTTATTATAATACATACTGGATTACTATAGGATTACTGGTACTTTCTTCCTCCATAATACACAGGACAATCTAAGTATCCAGCCCTTCCTTTCAGAGTTTCTTAACCCCTTTGGGTATCTCTAATGACCAATCCTCCTTCTACAGGTAAGAGATGAATGGTGTTATTGTTCCTAGAGATAACCACATTTTCTCTTTTTTAAAAAATTATTTTAAAATTATGTGTATTTGCCTGTGTGTGAATGTGGTTTTGTGCATATGAGTTCAGTGTCCACAGAGGTTAGAAGAGGGTATCAGATCCCCTGGAACTAGAACTATAGGCAGCTATGAGAAACTTGACATGGATGCTAGGAATTAAACTCAGGTCCTCTGCAAGAGCATTATATGCTTGTGAATGCCAGCCCGAGATAACCACATCATCAAAGGACAGTCTAGAGGTGTCAAAGTCTAGAAAGCCCAACAACCCTGTAATCACTATATAACTTTGTCTGCATTGTATGTGTATAGTATGTGTACACATACACACACATATACACATGTGCCTGTGATTATACTTGTGGAGGACAGATGCTGATATCAGGTGTCTATCATTTTTTCAACTCTCTCTCTCTTTTTTTTTTTATTTGAGACAGGGTCTCTCACTGAAACTGGAGCTCACCTATTAGCTAAATTGACTGGCCAGGAAAGCCCTCAGAATCCCCCCGTATACACTTCTCAGCACAAGAACAGCCAGGTGCCACTATGTCCTGTTATTACGTGCTAGAGATCCAAACTCAGCTTCTTGTGTATGTGCAATAAGCACTTTACCCAGCTAGCCATCTCCCTAGCCTCTTATTCTGCTTTGTAAAAAGCTCAATTTGGTTCTACTTCCTACAAACATTTGCAAGGGGCTAGGGGCTGTCGCTCAGTTAGTAAACGGTTTGCCCTCACATGCATCCTTCCCTGGCTTTGATACCCATCACTGCATAAAGTCATGTGTGGTGGCACATGCCTGTAATCCCAGCACTCACATGCAGGCAGAAGGATCACAAGTTCGAAGTCAACCTCAGTTACATTGTAAGGGCACTATGTGAGACCCTGTTTCAAAATAAAACAAAACAAAACAACAACAACCAAAATAAAAAAAAACCTGCGAATGGTAAAATCTCAGAGTGAATATACAGATCCTGGTCAATATGAAATTATTGCCAGCTGATCAAAAAGCACTTATCCCCACAACAAAAGCAAAATCCCATGACGGGGACAAGACAGTATATTGAATGTATAGACAGCAAAAGGATGGAGCAACACAAATCCAGGCTCAAGGAATTAGGAGCAGTCAAAGCTAGGGAAATATGGATAACCCCAAAGGAATAGGACAAGCTACAGTTCAATCTGCCTCAGAGAAGGAGGCCAGACAAATTCAAATTCAAAGACTGGTCTTTCTGGTGATGCTTCCACGGTCTCCCATGGCAACCTGGGTATCTCTGAAACTTCAGCCTTCTCAGCTTGCAGTCTCCTGGTCTTAGCGAGTGAAGAGGAGTACCAGCTCACAATGTGGGGTGTGGGGAAACAAATCCACAGGTACAGCTTCTCTCAGGATGAAAGGGTCACCTAGAAGCTTCTTAGCAGAGTTTGGAGGACAGCATAGTCTGCAGAAATAGACCATAATGTCAGTTCACAGAAACAAAGAGAAGCAAGCACAGAAGAACCGGCACTTAAAATTGAAGTCCTTCACCTGTAGTCACACAGCCCATGTGTTTCTCATCCCCATTTCTCATTATTTTCCTATAACTGGTTTGCTTAGCCATCTTCCTTACTAGGGTACAGATGCTCAACTTACAGAGAAGCTGTGGCCCAACAAACACACTGTAAGCAGACAATATTACATCAAAATGCATCTAAAGGACTGCAGAGATGGCTTTGGTTGGCAAGGCACCTGAGTTCAACTCCCAGAATCCATGGAAAAATGTAAAGTGTGTTGGCACAGTTGAAATCCAGGTCTGGAAACTAAAACCAGGCAGATCCCTGGAGCTCACTGGCCAGTAAGTCTAGTACTGGGTGAAACCCAGGCTAGTGAGAAATCCTGTCTCAAAAATAGTTTCTGAAAAACAATACCTTTAGGTTGTGCTTTGGCCTAAACACACACACACACACACACACACACACACACCCATTCTTTTGCACTATTGCACTTTTTCTACCATATGCACATAGTGTCTTGTCAAATTAAAACTGCCTTGCCTTTTTAGGGCCATGTTTAGAAATTTGCTCAGTGTGCTAGCTGAATTCTAGGTTTAGTCTTGTTTTTGTTTTTTTTGTTTTGGTTTGTTTGTTTGTTTGTTTCCTGAGACAGGGTGTCTCTGTATAGTCCTGGCTTTCCTGGAACTCTCTGTCTTAAACTCAGAAATTAGCCTGCCTCTACCTCCTAAGTGTTGGGATTAAAAGCATGAGCCACCATGCCCAGCTAGGTTTAGTTTTAACCTAAGTTAAGTAAAAAATGAAATAACATTAAAAGATACAAAAGGTAATCTTACCTGCCTCTCATATGTCCCTGGTTCTTTCATTTTAAAATATTTTTTAGAGTTAATTTTTGTGTGTATGGGGGTTTTTGCTTGTATGTACATATATGCCCCACATGCATGCCTTGTGCCTGCAGAGGTCAGAAGGGGGTGTCATGTCCCCAGAAATTAGAGTTGCACAGGGTTGTGAACTACCATGTGAGAGCTGGAAACCAAACCTGAATCCTCTGCAAGAACATCAATTGCTCTTAATCCCCGAGCCAGTTCCACAGTCCTGTCTCCAGTTATTAGGGTCTATTTCTGAAGGGGGCCTAAATTAAAGACAACATATAAAGTAGTGGGGCTTCTTTGTGGTATTTTCAAAGCTATATATCACACATCATTCTCATTTATTTTCCTCCTTCTCTACCCTTCCCCATGTTTCCTGCCTCTCTGACTTTCCCCAGGGAGTTCCCACTTCTGCTCCTTTATGACCTATACACAAACAAACACGTCTATGTACAAGTATTTACAAGGTAGGTTCAATGTATAAGAGAAACAAGTTAGCATCTCTCTTTCTAAGTTTGGCTTCTTTTCCTTAGCATAATATTCAGTTCATCAAATTTCCTGCAAGTGTGATTGCATTTTTCAAGACTTACTTTTTCATTATGTGTGTGTGTGCATGCATGCATGCATGTATGTGTGTATGTGTGCATGTGTGTATGTATACACATGGGCATTGGGGGGTTATTCAAGGAAGCCAGAGCTGTAGATCCCCTGGAGCTGGAGTCACAGGTGGCTGTGAGCTGCCCAATATGGGTACAGGTAACGAAACCTAGTTCCTTCCTCTGCAAAATCAGTACATTTTCTTAACTGCAGAGCCTCAATTTAAATTTTTCTCTCCCGATTTATTTTTTCTTGCTATCAGTGTCTCATATAACTTACCAGAGTCTCTCTATGAATATATAAGCAACCACAAATATACATCCTTCTCATCCTTTAAATTAATCTCATTATCATATAAACAATTCTATACCTTACTAGTTCTACTTACTAACAACGTTATCTCAGAACCTCAATCAAAAGCCATGAAGCCCTTCGGCCCCTGCCTGGTCCCTGGGACTGGAGCAGACACAGAGTCGGTCTGCTCCTGTCCTGTGGAGAAA